TGGGGTGGTGCCACCCAAGCCAGGCTGTGACAAGATTGATCTGGTTACTGCAGGAGAGCCAGTCTGGCAGTGTAACAAGGAAGGCTGAGACTGGTTGCCTGTGGGAAGCCTTTGCAGTGCGGCATGGCGAGGGCCTAACCCGTGGAAACATGGGAGTTCATGACCCACTAAGAGCAAAGGATAGACCGAGCTGGCTCTGAGATATTGAGCCTTGGAGGAGTGGGGCCCAGGTGTTCTCTGATGAGGCATTCCACCATCAAGCTATAATCTAGGCCATAACACATCCTCTAATTGCAATATTGCAAAAAATACATGGACTGTATTTGAACCCTGAATTTTACAAACAAACTGTTAAAAAGTTATGACCTATTTAAAAGATTTTGAATTCTAATTAAATTTGATAATCTTAAGGTATTAAGTGTTAACTCTCTAGGTGTGGGTATGGTACTGTGGTTTTAAGAGCCCTTATGTTTTAGAGAAACATACTGAAATATGTACAGATGAAATATATCTGGATTTGTTTCCAAGTTATCCAGGTAGATAAGGGGAGAATGGGCTTAGCATAGATGAGACAGGACTGTTTGTGAATTGTAAGCTGTCCAAGCTGGGTGACATGGGGTTCGTTTCTCTCCTCTCTCTATGTTGTATACATTTGAAATTTTCTGTAAAAACATTCTGGTCCTTGGATAATGCAGGTCCTACACCCTGGGCCTCACGATTCCCAATCAGAAATCACGAGAGGCATTTTGAGCTGTGCCATGTTAATCTCTTGTTACCTTTCAAAACGGGAATTCTGGCCACTTCTGTTTTGCCTAGAGCAGGAAAAACGCATAGACGGGGAAGAAATAATGCCTTGGCTTTATTTGGAAAAACAAACTGTGAGAGACACGTGATCCCCCTGTGTCAGAATCATGGGAGGAGTCCAACCAACTGGAGGCAAAGTCAAAACTCAGAAGAGCAAAGGCACATTTTTAGCTGGAAATAGATGCTTCTTTTAGAAGAGTCAGTCCCAGTGGAGGATTTCTGGCAGCGGAGCACTTGGCATGAGTGTGAAAGCTGAGACCGAGTTGAAAAATGGTAGCCCAGGGTGTAGCGGCCAGCATAAGGCCAGCGCTATGCAGTAACATGTCACAGCTCAGGGAACAGAAAGGCCTGCTGTTGTCACCTCTGATATTGGTTGTCCCGGTGCCCACCCTCATGGCACCTCTATCTCTCACATGCCACAAAGACAGGAGGCTGCTCTGACAGTGTCATGCGGTGGGAGGGCCTATGAACTTCCTTGGCAGGCCATCTCCCAGGCTACAGGGCAGAAATCAGATTTCTTTTTCTTTTCTTTTGGTTTTTTTTTTTTTTTTTTTTT